AATACGTGATAATTGTTTCAAGGAGGGACTGAATTAGTCGCGTGAGAAAAAATGGTTATCTGACTCCTTTCATGAAACCAGAGTAAAAAAAAAAAAACTCTGGGTTACGGGTTAGATAATTTAAATGGTTAATTACAAAAGCAGATCATAACATTGGCTCAAGAGACGCACTAATAATAGCTCCTAGGAAAATAATTCTGGATTGAATTATTACTAAACGGGGGGGATTTCTTATTTTTCCACCATGGGAAATAAATATTCTAAAGAGGTCCGAGAATTAACGGGGGATGAAAGATATATGTTAGGAGGAGATCGAAGAAATATGTTTTATGGATCCATTTGGGAGAAGAGGTATGGATTTATTGGGCATCTCGATGTGGAAAAGGTAAAAGTTATGATTAAGCAGATGCATGTAAACTGTGGAACGGATTTGAAAAAACAGCGAGGGGAGGGGCTAGAGACAGCGAGGGTCTTTTTGAAGCGCGAAGGAGAGAGGAAGTGCTTTAACTGTAACAAAGAGGAATATTTGGCAAGGGAGTGTAAGGCCCCATGTAAATACTGTAACAGAACAGGTCATAACCATCGTGACTGCAGGGGTAAAGGAAAGGGCAGTGTCGGAGATAGGACAGTCTATTTTTTGGTTCAACGGGTAAAATGTTTGAAAAAATGATTTGTGTCAATTAAGAATTGGCTAAAAACACCACGAAGCGATTATTTGAGAGGTACCTATACAATTCCAACGATATATACGTATGAACTTTCTCACCCAAACGTAGACGTACGTCATGAGTGAGAAAGTAGAGAATATTTACATTTGCAGTTTTGGTCATTTGGCAGACGCTCTAGTCCGGAGCGACTTGCAGGAGCGGTGGGGGTTGGGTGCTTTGCTCGGGGGCACATCGGCAGATTTTTCGCCTGGTCGGCTCAGGGATTGGAACCGGCGACCTCTCGGTTACTGAGACGATGCTCTTGGTTACTGGGCTACCAGCCGGCCGATATGAGTTTAAGGTTGTGCCGTTGTTTGATTAGGTGATAAGGTTATGTGATAAGGTTTAATGGGTAATCGGACCATAACTAAAGTGGTTATAGAAGTTATGTATAAATAGTAGAGAGCCAATAGAGGTTTCCATTGAACTATTATGGTTTGTTGGGCATTTGAATGGCATAAGGTGAAATCTGTGTGTATGAGGGAATTCAACGGCTGGTATGAATGATAACCGGATACTACTTAGTATTTGGTTGGTTAATGCTGAATGGAACATTTGAGGCGTGGTTGGGGGGTAACTAGGAAGACGCACTTATTCAATGGTAAATGGGTGTAGGGAGAGAGAGTTTTTACGTGTATTAAAAGTTGCATTAGATAGGTCTATGAAAATATGTTACAAGTACGAATGACATTATTTCCTAAGAAGGAAGATTTGTAGGGAAGGTACCCGCGCCTCCCCCATAATGTAGGAAGGAGCAGGAGAGGGGGGGAGAGGTGAGAGACAGTACATCGTTCAGATGGTAGGAATGTCATTAAGTGTATGCTTATCAACGATATCAAGTATTTGTTTTATTGATTGGGGCCGAATCAGAGAGAACGGTTAAAGGGATTGAATGGCGAGCTGGAGTGGCGATAGAGCTGTGAAAATTGAGTTAAGGACAAAGGACGATAATTTATGGCTCTGGTTAGCGGGAAAAAATGGAGACGGTCAAGCGAGTTAGATTGAGCTGGAAAATTTCAATTAGAGGTCTAAAGACTTTACTGAAAGAAAGTGCTTTGATGAATTCAAATGGTTATTACTTTATTGTATAGGTTGAGTAACACCAGTGGTGGATGAAAATAAATGGTGGATTCAAAAAAAAAATGGTTTCGTTACGTGAACAATGGGATATCGTTTTTACTATTAGGATGATGGATTGAAAAAACATTGGTTATAAGTATGAAGTTATTAAACAATAGGTTTACATTTTAAGAACATCAATGCAACAAGTTGCAATGAGGAAAGGAATAGTAAATTGGGGAGATAAAGGGGAAAATAACTGAGTTGTATAATAATTTGAGGGAACATTACCATCGACATGCAGACTTCTCCAAAGTACATGAATGTAACCAGAACCATACACATTCACTAATAATGACCAACTTCTGGTAGCAGGCATTATAGAAAATTAACACAGGTCTCATAAACAATCTCTCAAGCACAAGCCCACCTGCTAGTTAGTAGCCAGCTAATCTTTATATTTAAAGTCTAGACAACGTGGATCTATTTTCTTTCTAACTAGGTAGAACAGTTGAACTGTTATGAATACACCCTCCTGTCCGTCTCCAACTGTTCAAACAACATAGCCTGTTCACTTTGTTTAGATGTTGAAATCAAGGGTCCTAACTGGATAAGATTATGCTTATTTTTCAGAATGAGAATGAGTTGCCAATTCCTTATATAAATGAGTTTTTTTTTACAGTCATTACACATTTATAAAACATAGCTTAGACAGCCAGCGCATAACAGTATGTGACTAAAATGCTGCTAGCGGTACTTGGTACCGCAATGTCACGGACGACAAACACATTTTCGAAAATTATCTTAATTGATACTCCCGTTTTAGTAGGGTCTGTTCTAAATTTGGGGAGTTAAAAAGGGTATCGTTAGAAGAGGAATAGAGCCGATTCTGTTGGACCAAACCTCAAATGCATAGAGCGAGTTGAAACTGCTTGTTGTCAGAGAGGAAGACGTGATCTTTCGTCTTTGTTGTTGTGAGTGGGAGAGGGCTTGGTGTCTGTGTGTGAGTGGGATGGTCCACAGTGCACACAGCACAGAAGACGGAGGGGCTTGGTGTCTTTGCAGAAAAACAGCCCCAAAGCATGATGTTTCCACCCCCATGCTTCACAGTAGGTATGGTGTTCTTTGGATGCAACTCAGCATTCTTTGTCCTCCAAACACGACGAGTTGAGTTGTTACCAAAAAGTTATATTTTGGTTTCATCTGACCATATGACATTCTCCCAATCCTCTTCTGGATCATCCAAATGCACTCTAGCAAACTTCAGACGGGCCTGGACATGTACTGGCTTAAGCAGGGGGACACGTCTGGCACTGCAGGATTTGAGTCCCTGGCGGCGTAGTGTGTTACTGATGGTAGGCTTTGTTACTTTGGTCCCAGCTCTCTGCAGGTCATTCACTAGGTCCCCCTGTGTGGTTCTGGGATTTTTGCTCACCGTTCTTGTGATCATTTTGACCCCACGGGGTGAGATCTTGCGTGGAGCCCCAGATCGAGGGAGATTATCAGTGTTCTTGTATGTCTTCCATTTCCTAATAATTGCTCCCATAGTAGATTTCTTCAAACCAAGCTGCTTACCTATTGCAGATTCAGTCTTCCCAGCCTGGTGCAGGTCTACAATTTTGTTTCTGGTGTCCTTTGACAGCTCTTTGGTCTTGGCCTTAGTGGAGTTTGTAGTGTGACTGTTTGAGGTTGTGCACAGGTGTCTTTTATACTGATAAGAAGTTCAAACAGGTGCCATTAATACAGGTAACGAGTGGAGGACAGAGGAGCCTCTTAAAGAAGAAGTTACAGGTCTGTTAGAGCCAGAAATCTTGCTTGTTTGTAGGTGACCAAATACTTATTTTCCACCATAATTTGCAAATAAATCCAAAATCCTACAATGTGATTTTCTGGATTTTTTCCCCTCAATTTGTCTGTCATAGTTGACGTGTACCTATGATGAAAATTACAGGCCTCTCTCATCTTTTTAAGTGGGAGAACTTGCACAATTGGTGGCTGACTAAATACTTTTTCCCCCCACTGTATTTAGCCTAGGTATAATTTTACAAGCCCTAAATTCATTAGGTTATTCTTGACTGTTTGAAATGCAGCGTATTGACCATTAATTGTGCAACAAAGCTTATTTAGATATACAGTATATTGTGAATCGCCCATACGTTTGAAAAAATGAAGATATGATTTTAAGGCCAAATCGCCCAGCCCAAGTTTTCAGAATAAGACATGTTCACACAGACCGTACAAATTGTCAAACGAGTTTGATTGAATCTGTAGTGTCAAGAAGTTGCTTTTTGAACTAAACCAAGCCTGCTTACATCTCCACTTGTAAGGAAACAGGTAACACTTGTTAATTTGGCCTGAAAGCTAAAGACTAAAACCAGCCCTCACCACAAAACACATCTGTGTTACTGACTGTGAAGTTCCACTTCTTATCTGGGGGAAATGTCTCTTAGTCTTTTCTGTAGGCGGGATAAGAACTGAGCAGGAGGGGTAGAAAAGCTTTGTCTCCCCAGGGGCCTGCAGTACCACAATGAGGTTTCAATAGATAGAGAGCAAACTGCAGAGGAAGTTAACTATCAGATAACGCTGTGTAATAAGAAAAAGAGCTGCTGTGATTGCAGCCTATTGGTTGTTTAATAAAGAGCCTAGGAGAAGACGTGGTGGTGATTAGGCTGGGGGAAATGAGTGTGATCAGGGAGGTAGTAACAGGGACTGCCTGACCTGGACATTGATCAGCCTCTGCTGCTCGTTTATTTTTCAGACGTTTAGCGAAAACCATTACAAGTTGGGCCTGAAAATGCTCCACAGCCATGTGCAGTTAGACACAATGGTTCAGTTAATATCGTAGGTCATGTACGCACTGATAATTAATAAGGCTCGACTCTGGCAGGGCCCAGACTAAATGTTCAGAGCTTCTAGTAAATTATTGTTGTGTCAGTGGACCTGCTGTACCATCCTATGCACAAATGTATGCATTGTCATTGGAGATGTGATTTCCCCCCCTCGATTAATCAGGATTACCTGATATTTAAAAAATAAAAAAAATAATCTGTAATACTTACATCTGTGTTTTATCCTTAAACTGGACCAGTAGCCTTTAATCACTGGTGCTTCTGTATTGTACCAATCACATCCCTGCTTAGGCTGTATCTTGGGTTATATCCACCAATCATTCACACACTCTTCTCTTTATCTCCTTCTCTTCCTCTATGGAGCGTCCAGGAGCAGTGGGGACACATGGAGGAGATAGAGCTGGTGAACGATGGCTCGGGCCTGGGCTTTGGGATCGTTGGAGGCAAGACCACTGGGGTGGTGGTGAGGACTCTGGTTCCGAACAGTGTGGCTGACAAGGTACAATACTGGTCATTACTTACACTCAAACAATCAAAGCTAATATACAGAGCAGTCTGCTATGACAGGAACCTGGGTTGTGTTCATTAGGCACTAAACAAGAAAACGGTCTGAAATGGAGTGAAACAGGGAGGTGCGATCTGAACTTGTCCAATAAGGCAGGGGTTTTCAAACTTTTCTTGACCAGGGACCCGTGCCCAGGCAAACTGCCGACCCAGGGACCCCCATCGTATGTTAGCAAAAAATAATCACGTCTTATCAGGTGAATGATAATGGCAAGTAGAAGTAATCAACATTTTAAAATGAATAGATTTGGTAGGCTGTTTCATTATGAAACAGTCTACCACAGTTCATTGGAAGAGGAAGTGTAAACTCTAACATAGTCTATTACCTAGAAGGGTAATGGTATCTTGGCGGCGTAGAGAAAATGTTGCTGTTGTAAACACATTTTCTGCAATATTTATTTATTTTTAGCTGAGAGAAAATTGAGCAGTTTTGAAGCTCATTTCCAGAAATTCTATATAGTTTAGCATGGAACTGAGCGACTAGTTTGCAGTCTTAAAGCTAATTTTCTGCAATTCTATGCATTTTGCCATGGCTAATGCTGTGTTCATCTGCTCAAACATTGTAACAATCAATGGGCATGTGCCCTGAATGCCGGTGTTTTTTTTCTTCTATTCTGCCTGACTGTCTAGCTTTTATTTGGTTCTGAGTTCTTCTCAAGATGGTATTATTAAAACATATACAGTACCAGTCAAAAGTTTGGACACACCTACTCATTCAAGGGTTTTAATTTATTTTTTTACTATTTTCTACATCATAGAATAATAGTGAAGACCTCAAAACTACGAAATAACACATATGGAATCATGTAGTGTTAAACAAATCAAAATATATTTTATATTCTTCAAAGTAGCCACCCTTTGCCTTTTTTATTTAATTTATTTTTTTAACCTTTATTTAACTAGGCAAGTCAGTTAAGAACAATTTCTTATATACAATGACAGCCTACACCTGCCTTGATGACAGCTTTGCATACTCTTGGCATTCTCTCAACCAGCTTCACCTGGAATGCTTTTCCAACAGTCTTGAAGGAGTTCCCACATATGCTGAGCACTTGTTGGCTGCTTTTCCTTCGCTCTGCGGTCCGACTCATCCCAAACCATCTCAATTGGGTTGAGGTCAGGTGATTGTGGAGGCCAGGTCAACTGATGCAGCACTCCATCACTCTCCTTCTTGGTCAAATAGCCCTTACACAGCCTGGAGGTGTTTTGGGTCATTGTCCAGTTGAAAAACAAATGATAGTCCCACTAAGCGCAAACCAGTTGGGATGGCGTGTCGCTGCAGAAAGCTGTGGTAGCCATGCTGGTTAAGTGTGCCTTGAATTCTAAATAAATCACTGACCTTGTCACCATGCTTCACGGTGGGAACCACACATGCAGAGATCATCCGTTCACCTAATCTGATTTAAAATGAGTGGTCACTAGCTTAACGTAACACCACATTTTTACGATATAGCCAATTTTGACTTTGCAGCTGGCCCATCTAGTGGAAACCGCTCAGTTCTGCCCCCAGGGCAAGACTCGTGACAATAAACGTCAAGAAGCGAGTCGCATGAACAGGAACAGCTAGCATGCTAACTGTTCCTGTAGACTTCCAGGAACCTAGTCCAGTCATTGCGCTAATGCTAGTTAGCACTGGCTTGAAACTACCTCTAACATCCTTCATACTGGACACAGAGACATAAAAATGGTATCCACAATGGTATTCTGTTGCAGCTAGCGATATTCATAAAATATTTGTTTTCACACACAAAATAAAAACTAAAACATTTACGGACCCCCTGCAGTACCTCCGCGGACTGTTTTGAAAACCCCTACAATAAGAAACGCCTGTTTTTGTTTTCCATTGTATAACATTTTTTTAATGTTTTGCTACGGTGTGCCCTAATGAACACGACCCTGAAGTTACGCACATTTAACATGGATCATTACCTGACATCCCACAGAACAAATATTGCCCACATGAATAGACACTGTCTGTTTTGTCTCTTGTCATGAGATGTCAGTTTTAGCTGTAGGCTTTCTTTGGTTTACTCATACTTAGTTATGTCAGTGGTCAATATTGTTTGCTTTTTCTCAAACATTAAAGAAATGTATCCGTAAATGGATTTGTTGTTAACAGCGTTAGTCTTGAAAGATATTAAATAAAGATCATTTTAGAAGACGATTAAGATGTAGGCTGTGACCGTTTTCCACAACATTCCTCAGCAGTAGGCCTACTAAACCATTACATACTCAGGGCTTCACTTTAAACAGCTTCCTTCTCTCTCTTCCTCCTGATCCTTTGGTAACAGACCAGTTATCCCCAATGAATAGTAACCACCAGTTTAGCTGAATTAATGCTGAGCGCGTTCCACAAAGGGCTCAGTTACATATAATAGCCATTGAGCTGGAGGGGAAAAAATGATCACCTTGTAAGGGGATTACATCCTGGCTACACAGAGCACGCTAGGCCCGCGTCCGGCTCGAAGGACCGCGCCCAAAGTCCCTGACACAGCCCATTTACAAGCAGTCCCTTTCTTTTCTTTTCCCACTCAACACTTTGCTTTTTTCCTTTCTGTTGTGAGCTTTGGGGTGTATTCAGTTATTCAGATAGTTAACATGGGAACATGTAAAAAAAAAAAAAGCTGTCAATGTCGGTTTTAACCTTTAAAAAAAAAGTGTTATCCAAGAGGGATCAGGATTTAAAAAACCCTGTCCCTTGTTTCTGAAACCCCCTCGCACCACTCCTCTTTCTCTCTTTTTCTTTATTTCTCTCCTCTTTATTTTTTCTCTCTCTCGCTCTCTACCCCTCCCTCCTTTTTGCTCTCTCTCTCACTCTGTCTACCCCTCCCTTTCTCTCTCTTTCTCTGAATGTCCAAGAGAGCCCAGGCTGGGCAACAAAACCCTGCTTGTTCAAAAGGCACAGTGCAGCATTTCACACATCACTGGATCTTATGCTCCAAAAAAGCTGTCAAAACTGGGGCTTTGTTAGACCCTGGCGTTTCCCATTTCAATGTTTAATGGCCAGGGCTGGCTTCAATGCACCCCCGTTGTCCCGTGCACAGATCCAGGGAGAGAATTTGGGGAGATTTCCTGCACCAAGTTTATGCATCAAACACTTTTCATCTCTCTTTCCACAAAGGCAGCCATTCTCCCCTCTCTTTGTGGAGCATCATTTTTTTTTCTATCTCCTCATTTTCCCTTTCTGAGTTTATTCTGCTTGACCTGTGAGTCGGTGTATACAATTCCTAGCTTAGTACCGCGGGCCAGGCCCAGACCAGGGCTTAGTACCGCGGGCCAGGCCCAGACCAGGGCTTAGTACCGCGGGCCAGGCCCAGACCAGGGCTTAGTACCGCAGGCCAGGCCCAGACCAGGGCTTAGTACCGCGGGCCAGGCCCAGACCAGGGCTTAGTACCGCGGGCCAGGCCCAGACCAGGGCTTAGTACCGCGGGCCAGGCCCAGACCAGGGCTTAGTACCGCGGGCCAGGCCCAGACCAGGGTGGGTCTAGCCTATTCAAGTGGGATGTAAAATGCATTGGACCACATTGGCTGAAATTATCAGATGGTCCAACTAAGCTAAATGTTGATTATGAGCAGATTTTTTGGGTAGTTCTTTCATGTACTAGCAAACAATAACATTCTGTAAGAAATTATGTAAAATACTGTTATTGCTAGACCCTGAACTTAACTATAATGCATTGTGTGTTATCCATATTTCAAGTTAGTTAAAATTGTAACGTTGTCCTCTCCTCCTCCCTCTACTCTCCCCCTCCCTCTACTCTCCCCTCTCCCCCTCCCTCTACTCTCCTCTCTCCCCCCTATAGGACGGGCGCCTGCGTACGGGTGACCACATCCTGGGTATTGGTGAGACCCCAACGGGTGGCCTGTCTAGCGACCAGGTGGTCAAGGTGCTGCAGGGCTGCGGGAGCCACGTACGCATGCTCATCGCCCGTGACCCCTCGGGACAGCCCTCCACCCCCCTCCCCCCGCCCCCTCCCCCGCCCGCCTCCGGCCCCGTCTCTGCCTTACCCGCTGGAGTCGGACCCCAGCGCAGGGTCAGCAGGACGGTGAGTGAGACAGGATGTTGGGGAACGCGCACATGCATATATACACACACACCTAACCATGCACAGACCTACTGTTCCTTCTGCCTCTCTATGCACGCACACACACACACACACACACACACACACCTAGACATGCACACACCTTCTCCTGTTACCCCTGCCCCTCTACTGCCCTACATGTTGTGGTGAATATGTCCATAACATTAGGACGTCAGTACATGTACAGGGTATCTCTATATCTTCCCTGTGTTTTCCAGCCCAACCTGGAGGGTTATGAGATCCATGAAGTGCCTCTGAGGAAGAAGGAGGGCCAGAGCCTGGGGATCACTATCATCGGATACAACGCCTTAACCTGTGACGGTAGGCCGATGCCCAATACCATGTCAATTCTTAGCTCACTAGCCCTTTACCCTTAACCCATGCCCCTAATCCTAGTCCCCTAGCCCCTTACCCTTAACCCATGCCCCTAATCCTAGTCCCCTAGCTCCTTACCCTTAACCCATGCCCCTAATCCTAGTCCCCTAGCTCCTTACCCTTAACCCAGGCCCCTAATCCTAGTCCTCTAGCTCCTTACCCTTAACCCAGGCCCCTAATCCTAGTCCCCTAGCCTCTTACCCTTAACCCAGGCCCCTAATCCTAGTCCCCTAGCCTCTTACCCTTAACCCATGCCCCTAATCCTAGTCCCCTAGCTCCTTACTCTTAACCCATGCCCTTAATCCTAGCCCCTTACCGTTAACCCAGACCCTTAACACAGGCCCCTAATCCTAGTCCCCTAGCCCTTTACCCTTAACCCAGGTCCTAATCCTAGCCCCTAACTCTTAACCCAGGCCCCTAAACCTAGCCGCTAACCCAGGCCCCTAATCCTAGTCCCCTAATCCTAGCCCCTAACCCTTAACCCAGGCCCCTAATCCTAGTCCCCTAGCCGCTAACCCAGGCCCCTAATCCTGGTCCCGTAGCCCCTATTTGTACTCAGATCCAGTATTATTGACACTGTTTGAGATGTATTGTTTTGATGGTGTCTTGTCCCTCTATTCCCCTCTCCTTGGTTTTGCGCGCTCTCTCCTAACTCTACCCCCGTTCTTTCTATCTCTCCTACTCTACCCCCCGTTCTTTCTATCTCCCTACTCTACCCCCCGTTCTTTCTATCTCTCTACTCTATACCCCCCGTTCTTTCTATCTCTCCTATACTCTACCCCCCGTTCTTTCTATCTCTCCTACTCTACCCCCCGTTCTTTCTATCTCTCCTAATCTACCCCCCGTTCTTTCTATCTCTCCTACTCTACCCCCCGTTCTTTCTCTCTCTATCTCTCCTACTCTACCCCCCCCGTTCTTTCTCTCTCTGCCCCCTTTCGCTCTCCTTTTTACTTTCTACCCCCCTTTCTCTCTCTATTTTGCATTCTTTCCCTCTGTCTGTCTTTGCCCCCCCCCCCCCCCCCCCTCCCCTCTCTCTCTCCTAGACGCGGTTGGGGTGTTTGTGAAGAACGTGGTTCCTGGGAGTGCCGCTGAGCAGAGTGGAAACATCCGGATCTATGACAGGATCATGGCGGTGAGACAATTCATCAGCTTAGAGAGAGAGAGAGAGAGAGAGAGAGAGACCCCTGCCACCCCCTCCTCATACACCTCATGGATCACTATGGCATCCTAAAGAGAGAGAGACTTGCTTATCCCAACACAGCACTTACACCTCATTTAGCTAACCACAGTCTTGGTCATTTACATTTATTAAAGCTGACTCATATTTGGTAGTGAATGGCTGGGACAAAAGCCTGCACACACTGCCCATGTCATCACACTATAACACAACTATATTGGGTCTTCATTGTCAGGTCAGGCTTCTATTGAAAATAATGTGTTCTCTATGACTTACCTGCTTAAAATAGAACAATGGTATAAACCCCCTGTCAGAGTTTACGGGGACAAGGGTGAGAAGTCATTTTGGCCTGTTTCATTGTGTCAGCTGGATGGGGTGAGCCTGCAGGGCTTCACTAACCAGGAGGTTCTGGATGTGATGAAGCAGACAGCCCAGACGGTCCACCTCACCCTGGTCAGGAAGATCGCCTCGCCCAAACTGTCACTGGAGAGGTCCCTGGACAAAGGTAAGGACTACTAGGACTCTTTACCAGTCACCTGTAAGTGTGTATCACAAGTCCTACTACGGCAGAAATACAGCCGATATGATGCGTTTTGCATCATACCGGCTGTAGTTCTGTATTTTGAAAGTTACATGTCTTGATAACTTGATTGCTGACATGCAGAACATTTTGGGACTACAGTGCCTTCGGAAAGTATTCAGACCCCTTGACTTTTTCCACATTTTGTTACGTTACAGCCTCATTCTAAAATGGATTAAATAAATAAAAATCCTCAGCAATCTACACATAATATCCCATAATGACAAAACTAAAGTAGGTTTTTAGAAATGTTTGCTAATTTATCAAAAAAGAAACATAAATACCTTATTTACATAAGTATTCAGACCCTTTGCTATGAATCTCAAAATTGAGCTCAGGTGCATCCTGTTTACATTGATAATCTTTGAGAAGTTTCTACAACTTGATTGGAGTCCACCTGTGGTAAATTCAATTGATTGGACATGATTTGGAAAGGCACACAACAGTCTATATAAGGTCCCACAGTTGACAGTGCATGTCAGAGCAAGAACCAAGCCATGTGGTCAAAGGAATTGTCCGTAGAGCGCTGAGACAGGATTGTGTCAAGGCACAGATCTGGGGATGGTTACCAAAAAACTTCTGCAGCATTGAAGGTCCCCAAGAACACAGTGGCCTCCATCATTCTTAAATGGAAGAAGTTTGGAACCACCAAGACTCTTCCTAGAGCTGGCCGCCCGGCCAAACTGAGCAATCAGGGGAGAAGGGCCTTGGTCAGGGAGGTGACTAAGAACCCGATGGTCACTCTGACAGAGCTCCAGAGTTCCTCTGTGGAGATGGGAGAACCTTCCAGAAGGACAACCATCTCTGCAGCACTCCACTAATCATGGTAGGGTGGCCAGACGGAAGCCACTCCTCAGCAAAAGGCACATGACAGCACGCTTGGAGTTTGCCAAAAAGCACCTAAAGACTCTCAGACCATGAGAAACAAGAATCTCTGGTCTGATGAAACCAAGATTGAACTCTTTGGCCTGAATGCCAAGCGTCACATCTGGAGGAAACCTGCACCATCCCTATGGTGAAGCACGGTGGTGGCAGCATCATGCTGTGGAGATCTTTTTCAACGGCAGGGACTGGGAGACTAGTCAGAATCAAGGCAAAGATGAACGGAGCAAAGTACAGAGAGATCCTTGATGAAAACCTGCTTCAGAGTGCTCAGGGCCTCAGACTGGGGCGAAGGTTCACCTTCCAACAGGACAACGACCCTAAGCACACAGCCAAGACAATGCAGGAGTGGCTTCGAGACAAGTCTCTGAATGTCCTTGAGTGGCCCAGCCAGAGCCAAGACTTGAACCCAATCGAACATCTCTGGAGAGACCTGAAAATAGCTGTGCAGCGACGCTCCCCATCCAACCTGACAGAGCTTGAGAGGATCTGCAGAGAGGAATGGGAGAAAGTCCCCAAATACAGGTGTGCCAAGCTTGTAGCGTCACACCCAAGAAGAATTGAGGCTGCTAAAGGTGCTTCAACAAAGTACTGAGTAAAGGGTCTGAATACTTATGTAAATGTTATATTTCAGTTTATTTCTTTTTTATAAATTTGCAAATACATTCTAAAAATCTGTTTTGGCTTTGTCATTATGGGGTATCGTGTGTAGATTGATAAGGGGGGGAAAAAAAACAATTTTATCAAATTTATAATAGGGCTGTAACGTAACAAAGTGGAAAAAGTAAAGGGATCTGAATACTTTCCGAATGTACTGTATTTCAACAGTGGACTAATAAAACAAATACAAAAAAAATCCTTTAAGACCAATGGACTTATTCAGAAATGCAGATTTTCAGAAAGGGTACCTTGGTGGCTTGGGAAGTGCACTGTCGAGCGCTCGTTCCTTGTACATGTGTACCTAGTGAAAAGACATCCCTAAACCCTCGGGAGTGTGCATGGAACTGTGACAGGATGGTAAGGTGGACACGAGGACAGGGCCTTAAGTTAAACTACCATCCCAATAGATATGTACTCCATTGTCCAATGAGTTCAACCTCCCTCCGGCCATCTGCAGTCCAATGAGTTCAAGCTTCCTCTGGCCATTTCTAATTACCATCCAGCGTCAGAGGGGACGATTACTATGACAAATTTGTTTACTACTCTATACAGTAATTTCCAAAAAGTCTCAGGGAAAGCATCCAAAGATCTATGACCTCATTTCCTGCGACTTCTCAGAGGCTTGCTGCATTGGTCACTTCCTTGGCCATTGGTCAGCCGAGCAGTGTGACAGAGGTGATTTAGAAGAGCAGGGTGAGTGACCGTGGAACTCTTCTCTCTCCTGGTCTCTTTGTTTCATTACGCCGGTTGGGGAGCGGGATACAACACCCTCTAAGCTAACTGGAGACTGCTAACCATGTAAAGTGAGCGGTCTGATTTCACGCACACGAACACACACACACTAAATCACACACACACACACACACACACACACACACACACACACACACACACACACCCACACCCTGGTGTTTTCCCTCACGTACAGTCTGCTTGACTTGTCGTACTTGGAGGGCCTAGTACAGAGCTTTCAGAAAGTATTCACACCCCTTGACTTTTTACACATTTTGTTGTGTTACAGCCTGAATTTAAAATTCATTAAACTTTTTTTTGGTCTTTACACAATACCACATAATGAAAACAACATGTTTTTAGAAATGTTTGCCATTTTATTGGAAATAAAATGCATAAATATTGCATTTACATAAGTATTCACACCCCTGAGTCAATACATGTTAGAATCACCTTTTGGCAGCAATTACAGCTGTGAGTCTTTCTGGGTAAGTCTCTAAAAGCTTTGCACACTTGGATTGTACAATATTTGCACATTGTTCTTAAAAAAATTATTCCTGCTCTGTCAAGTTGGTTGTTGATCATTTCTAGACAGCCATTTTCAAGTCTTGCCAAAGATTTTCAAGCCGACATAAGTCAAAACTAACAAGGCCATTCAGGAACATTCAATGTCCTCTTGGTAAGCAACTGTATATTTGGCCTTGAGTTTTAGGTTAATGTCCTGCTGAAAGGTGAATTTGTCTCCCAGTGTCAGTTGGAAAGCTGGAAAGTTTTCTTCTAGGATTTTGCCTGTGCTTAGCTCTATTCCGTTTATTTTTATCATAAAAAACTCCCTAGTCCTTGACGATGACAAGCATACAGTGAGGGAAAAAAGTATTTGATCCCCTGCTGATTTTGTACGTTTGCCCACTGACAAAGAAATGATCAGTCTATAATTTTAATGGTAGGTTTATTTGAACAGTGAGAGACAGAATAACAACAAAAAAATCCAGAAAAATGCATGTCAAAAATGTTATCCATTGATTTCCATTTTAATGAGGGAAATGAAATAAGTATTTGACCCCTCTGCAAAACATGACTTAGTACTTGGTGGCAAAACCCTTATTGGCAATCACAGAGGTCAGACGTTTGTTATAGTTGGCCACCAGGTTTGCACACATCTCAGGAGGGATTTTGTCCCACTCTTTGCAGATCTTCTCCAAGTCATTAAGGTTTCGAGGCTGACGTTTGGCAACTCGAACCTTCAGCTCCCTCCACAGATTTTCTATGGGATTAAGGTCTGGAGACTGGCTAGGCCACTCCAGGACCTTAATATGCTTCTTCTTGAGCCACTCCTTTGTTGCCTTGGCCGTGTGTTTTGGGTCATTGTCATGCTGGAATACCCATCCACGACCCATTTTCAATGCCCTGGCTGAGGGAAGGAGGTTCTCACCCAAGATTTGACGGTACATGGGGCGGTTCCTCCTGCAGGCAGAGGAGGGTCGTTAGTGATTGGAGTTGGTGTGATTGGAGCCACCTGGGCTCAGGGTATTTAAAACTGCTTCACTAACCCCAATCTCTCTCTCTCCCTGCTCCTCCAGGTATGATCCTGGTTTGTTTGTTCCTTTGTAGGTTTACTTAGTTTCCACTCAGTCATGTTCACACACACACAGATTCATGCATCCATGCACCTTACCTACACCCTACATTATGATATTTCCACACCTCATTCCTTTTTCTTTGTTTAAAGTTAATAGAGAACCTTTTGATTGGCCTATACCTGTTGTTCATGTCCCCTCATTTTTGCCACAGGCTATGAGCCGGCCTGTGACACTTTGATGTGGTGAAGTTGTCCTGTCCCCTTAGCAGAAAAACACCCCCAAAGCATAATGTTTCCACCTCCATGTTTGACGGTGGGGATGGTGTTTACATTTACATTACATTTTAGTCATTTAGCAGACGCTCTTATCCAGAGCGACTTACAGGAGCAATTAGGGTTAAGTGCCTTGCTCAAGGGCACATCGACAGATTTTTCACCTAGTCGGCTCTGGGATTAGAACCAGCGACCTTTCGGTTACTGGCACAACGCTCTTAACCACTAAGCTACCTGCTGTGTTCTTGGGGTCATAGGCAGCCTTCCTCCTCCTCCAAACACGGCAAGTTGAGTTGATGCCAAAGAGCTCCATTGTGGTCTCATCTGACCACAACACTTTCACCCAGTTCTCCTCTGAATCATTCAGATGTTCATTGGCAAACTTCAGACGGCCCTGTATATGTGCTTTCTTGAGCAGGGGGACCATGCAGGCGCTGCAGGATTTCAGTCCTTCACGGGGTAGTGTGTTACCAATTGTTTTTTTGGTGACTATGGTCCCAGCTGCCTTGAGATCATTGACAAGATCCTCCCGTGTAGATCTGGGCTGATTCTTCACCGTTCTCATGATCATTGCAACTCCACGAGGTGAGATCTTGCATGGAGCCCCAGGCCGAGGGAGATTGACAGTTCTTTTTTGTTTCTTCCATTTGCGAATAATTGCACCAACTGTTGTCACCTTCTCACCAAGCTGCTTGGCGATGGTCTTGTAGCCCATTCCAGCCTTGTGTAGGTCTACAATCTTGTCCCTGACATCCTTGGAGAGCTCTTTGGTCTTGGCCATGGTGGAGAGTTTGGAATCTGATTGATTGATTGCTTCTGTGGACAGATGTCTTTTATACAGGTAACAAGCTGATATTAGGAGCACTCCCTTTAAGAGTGTGATCCTAATCTCAGCTCGTTACCTGTATAAAAGACACCTGGGAGCCAGAAATCTTTCTGATTGAGAGGGGGTCAAATACTTATTTCCCTCATTAAAATGCAAATCAATTTATAACATTTTTGACATGTGTTTTTCTGGATTTTTTTGTTGTTATTCTGTCTCTCACTGTTCAAATAAACCTACCATTAAAATTAGACTGATCATTTCTTTGTCAGTGGGCAAACGTACAAAATCAGCAGGGGATCAAATACTTTTTTCCCTCACTGTACACATAACATGATGCAGCCACCACCATGCTTGAAAATATGAAGAGTGGTACTCAGTGATGTGTTGTTGGATTTGCCCCAAAACATAACGCTTTGTATTCAGGATGTAAGTTAATTTCTTTGCCAATTTTTTTGCAGTTTTACTTTAGTGCCTTATTACAAACAAATGTTTTGCAATATTTGTATTCTGTACAGCAGGGATCATCAACTATATTGAACAAAAATATAAACGCAACATGCAACAATTTCAACGATTTTACTGACTTATAGTTCATGTAAGAAAATCAGTCAATTGAAATAAATTCATTAGTCCCAAATCTATGGATTTCACATGACTGGGATAGGCCCACCCATTTTGGGAGCCAGGCCCACCCACTGGGGAGCCAGGCCCAGCCAGTCATAATGAGTTTTTCCCCACAAAAGGGCTTTGTTACAGACACAAATACTCCTCAGTTTAATCAACTGTCTGGGTGGCTGGGCTCAGATGATCCTGCGGGTGAAGAATACGGATGTGGAGGTCACACGTGGTCTGCGGTTGTGAGGCCGGTTGGACGTACTGCCAAATTCTCTAAAACAACGTTGGAGGTGGCTTATGGTAGAGAAATTAACATTAAATTCTCTGGTGGACATTCCTGCAGTCAGCATGTCAATTGCACCCTGCCTCAACTTGAGACATCTGTGGCATTATGTTGTGTGACAAAACTGCACATTTTAGAGTGGGCTTTTTTTGGCCCCAGCACCTGGTGCACCTGTGTAATGATCATGCTGTTTAATCAGCTTCTTGATATGCCACACCTGTCAGGTGGATGTATTATCTTGTCAAAGGAGAAATGCTCGCTAATAGGGATGTAAACAAATTTGTGCACAACATTTGAGAGAAATAAGCTTATTGTGCGTATGAAAAAATTCTGAGATCTTTTATTTCAGCTCATGAAACATGGGACCAACACTTTACGTGTTGCATTTATATTTTTGTTCAGTATAGATTTAGCCGCGGGCCGATTATTATTATTTTTTTCTTGAGTGGATGGTCAGGGGGCCGGAACATAATTACAAATAATTTGTAGGCTGCAAATTGAACGCAAGAAGCCCAAACTGATATAATATTTGACTAAAACATAATCATTTCAAACCTTGCTTACAATTGTATACGTTTACATATACTGTATCTCTCTATTATGCATGGGAATATTGTTTTTTTTTAAATCACTTGGAGTGATTTGCTGGTGTTTTTACAGTTTGTGGCACCCCCCCCAAAAAAGATAAAATATTCTCTTTTTCTTTTCTCAGTAAACTTGGGGGGCCAAATAAAATCACTGAATAAAGAGTTGCATGCACTCACTCTGTGTGCTATAATAGTGGTTAACATGATTTATTTGAATGAATATCCAATCTCTGTACCCCACACATACAATTATATGTAAGGTCCCTTAGTCGAGTAGTGAATTTCAAGCACAGATTCAACCACAGAGACCAGGGAGGTTTTCCAATGCCTCGCAAAAAAGGGCACCTATTGGGTAAAAATTAAATATAAAGTAGACACTGAATATCCCTTTGAGCATGGTGATGTCATTAATTACGCTTTGGATGGTGTATCAATACTCCCAGTCACTACAATGATACAGGCATCCTTCCTAACTCAGTTGCCGGAGAGGAAGGAAACCGCGCAGGGATTTCACTATGAGGCCAATGGTGATTTTAAAACAGTTCGAGTTTAATGGCTGTGATAGGAGAACATTGAAGATGGATCCACAACATTGTAGTTACTCCACAATACTAATATAAATGACAGAGTGAAAAGGAAGTCTTTACAGAATAAAAATATTCCAAAACATGCATCCTGTTTGCAATAAGGCACTAAAGTAATACTGCAAAAAAATGTGGCAAAGAAGTTAACTTTTTGTCCTGAATACAAAGCATTATGTTTGGGGCAATGATCAACAACCAACTTGACAGAGTTTAAAATATAATAATGTGAAAATATTGTACAATCCAGGTGTGCAAAGCTCTTAGAGACTTACCCAAAAAGACTCAAAGCTGTAATCGCTGCCAAATGTGATTCTAACATGTATTGACTCAGGGGTGTAAATGAGATATTTCTGTATTTCATTTTCAATAAATTAGCACAAAAAATGCAAACATTTTTTTTTTCACTTTGTCATTATGGGGTATTGTGTGTAGAGGGGTGTGGATTTTTTTTTTATTTAATCCATTTTAAATTCCGATTGTAATAACAAAATGTGGACTAAGTCATGGGGAATGGATACTTTATGAACGACCCTCCCATTTTCATATGTGTCTGGTGTTAGCTAGTTACTGGATGGAACAAAAGGGGGGAAGGGTCGTTCATAACTCTGACGCAGTTGTCATGTCAACACATCCGTCAGTGCTGCTGTGAACCGCATCACAAGAGACATGTCAAACGGGAGATGTACAAAACAAATGTATGTCATTGATGCAATTTCAATGTTGTTGAGTTCCTTTTCATTATCACCACATTTGCTTGAGATTATTTTACTGCACCACTGTTCACTGCATTCAAGTTTCTTGACATCGGTGTTTCAAAGAGCTGTCAGTCAAGGCAAGCTCATGAGTATAAGCTCCCCGCCCACTCAGCCCGTCTTTTCAAATTTCCTGGGAGTTAGCCATGAGACAAAAATAAAAGTTTATCAAATGTTTTGCATTTCCATCCCCCCCAAAAATATTATGGGTGATAATGAAAAGGAACTCAACAACATTGAAATTGCATCAATGTCAAAGGTCAAAAGGCTATTTTACATTTGGAATCAGAGTTTTCGGGACCTTTTTAAGCTAATTTTTACTCCTGAACGTATTTAGGCTTGCCATAACAAAGGGGTTGAATACTTATTGACTCAAGACATTTCAGCTTTTAAATTATTAATTTGTAAAAATTTCTTAAAACAAGATCAAGATATACAGTGGGGAGAACAAGTATATGATACACTGCCGATTTTGCAGGTTTTCCTACTTACAAAGCATGTAGAGGTCTGTGATTTTTATCATAGGTACACTTCAACTGTGAGAGACGGAATCTACAACAAAAATCCAGAAAATCACATTGTATGATTTTTAAGTAATTAATTTTCATTTTATTGCATGACATAAGTATTTGATCACCTACCAACCAGTAAGAATTCCGGCTCTCACAGACCTGTTAGTTTTTCTTTAAGAAGCCCTCCTGTTCTCCACTCATTACCTGTATTAACTGCACCTGTTTGAACTCGTTACCTGTATAAAAGACACCTGTCCACATACTCAGTCAAACAGACTCCAACCTCTCCACAATGGCCAAGACCAGAGAGCTGTGTAAGGACATTAGGGATACAATTGTAGACCTGCACAAGGCTGGGATGGGCTACAGGACAATAGGCAAGCAGCTTGGTGAGAAGGCAACAACTGTTGGCGCAATTATTAGAAAATGGAAGAAGTTCAAGATGACGGTCAATCACCCTTGGTCTGGGGCTCCATGCAAGATCTCACCTCGTGGGGCATCAATGATCGTGAGGGATCAGCCCAGAACTACACGGCAGGACCTGGTCAATGACCTGAAGAGAGCTGGGACCACAGTCTCAAAGAAAACCATTAGTAACACACTACGCCGTCATGGATTAAAATCCTGCAGCGCACGCAAGGTCCCCCTGCTCAAGCCAGCGCATGTCCAGGCCCGTCTGAAGTTTGCCAATGACCATCTGGATGATCCAGAGGAGGAATGGGAGAAGGTCATGTGGTCTGATGAGACAAAAATAGAGCTTTTTGGTCTAAACTTCACTCGCCATGTTTGGAGGAAGAAGAAGGATGAGTACAACCCCAAGAACACCATCCCAACCGTGAAGCATGGAGGTGGAAACATCATTCTTTGGGGATGCTTTTCTGCAAAGGGGACAGGACGACTGCACCGTATTGAGGGGAGGATGGATGGGGCCATGTATCGCGAGATCTTGGCCAACAACCTCCTTCCCTCAGTAAGAGCATTGAAGATGGGTCGTGGCTGTGTCTTCCAATATGACAACGACCCGAAACACACAGCCAGGGCAACTAAGGAGTGGCTCCGTAAGAAGCATCTCAAGGTCCTGGAGTGGCCTAGCCAGTCTCCAGACCTGAACCCAATAGAAAATCTTTGGAGGGAGCTGAATGTCCGTATTGCCCAGCGACAGCCCCGAAACCTGAAGGATCTGGAGAAGGTATGGAGGAGTGGGCCAAAATCCCTGCTGCAGTGTGTGCAAACCTGGTCAAGACCTACAGGAAACGTATGATCTCTGTAATTGCAAACAAAGGTTTCTGTACCAAATATTAAGTTCTGCTTTTCAGATGTATCAAATACTTATGTCATGCAATAAAATGCAAATGAATTACTTAAAAATCATACAATGTGATTTTCTGGATTTTTGTTGTAGATTCCGTCTCTCACAGTTGAAGTGTACCTATGATAAAAATTACAGACCTCTACATGCTTTAAGTAGGAAAACCTGCAAAATCGGCAGTGTATCAAATACTTGTTCTCCCCACTGTATCAGTGTTTTATTTTTTGTTAATCAAAAAAAAAAAAAAAGTTCTTCCACTTTGACATTACAGATTATTTTGTGTAGGTCGTAAGGAAACAACAACAATTTTAATCAATTTTAATCCCAATTTGTAATGCAACAAAATGTGGAAAAAGTCAATGGGTGTGAATACTTTCTGATGGCACTGTATGTATATACTGTAGCGGGAATCAGTGTTACAGTACAAATGAATAGAGAGGAGCTGTGCTAAATCCTATGTAACGGTCAGATGGAAATATTCCCTGTGTCGCGTAGGATGAAGTAACTACTACCTCTAATTCCATTCAAGCTAAAACTTGATATTAAACACCACAACTAGATTTCTTCTGACAATATGTCAGTTGTTGGCAGTTATTGTTGTTGAATGTGGTCGCACGCACACACGTCTACACACACACACACACACACACACACACACACACACACACACACACACACACACACACACACACACACACACACACACACACACACCATGTAATGGAGTGCTCATTTGTACAAGGCCTGGTTCAAATTGAGCAAAAATATCCCAGACACGTCTTTCCAACCAGCATTCTGTTCTGATCAGTATGTTTTATGTCTGGCTGCTGGTGTTTTCATATGATTTGTCAGAACTACCCCACTGATGTTACTGAATAAACAGCCGAGTGTTGAGTGTACATCAACCACTGTGTGTGTGTGAACATGCATGGTTTTGAATTTTTTTGATTGTTTTATGCCTGCGTTGGTTTTCTCATGCGTGTGTCCGTTCTTATACTCACTTGTGTGTGTTGCAGTGCAGAGGGAGCCGTCACGTGTGTCTCTGAAGAGGTCTGCAGAGATCAAGTCTCGGTTGTCAGACCTGCAGGTTGCCCCCCTAGTGGAGCCCACTGAGACACTCCTGATGAGCACCAGTACTAGCAGAACACAGCTGGCCAGAGGTGAGCTAATGTATCTGTCCATTCATCCATCCAACCATCTACCATCTGTAGTCCTCCTCTCTCGCTCTCACTTACACGCACACACACACACACACACACACACACACCTCATTACTCCATGTCACCTACTCCTATCCCTGTTGGATAGTCTGCCACTAACGTGCATCATCCATAGCAACTGTTACCATGTTAGCTAGGCAGGTTATTTATCCCATCTTCATTGAAATAGCTTTTTAGTCCAGGACTAAGCTTAATCTTTGTCCGGTAAAACTAATCTATAGGTTTTAGTCTCAGAACCACAAAGTCTCTCTGTTCTTTATCACCGTTTCTCTCTTTAAACTCCACGTGATACTTCTGCCTTTACACAGTCAGTCAGTCTTTACATCAGCACTGGAACCCAATCCCCCCCTCATCCCGGTCTGGGTCACCGGTGGGTCACCCCATCCTCCCGAAACCTCCCCCTCCACCCCCTACTTCAGCCTAGTCCCCACACAGCAGGCTTATTGGGCACTGTTACACTGTTACAGTCATACTAGACGCTCACCCTCCGGGATATAAATATCAAGCTAGACGAGGAGGGGGAGGAGAGGGGAGGGGAGGGGAGGGGGGACGGAAGAGAAAAAGGCTAGAGCTTGGGCTTGGTAGAGTAGATAGGAAGATTGTGTTTATGGAGGTGTGAGGGGGCTCACGTTACCCTGAGCCCTATTGAATCCTGACAAGACCTTCTATCTGCCAAATCTCCCCAATAAAGTATTCTGTTGCACAGGGGAACCAATACAAGCCACACTGATAACAATAATGTTTTGTCAAGGGCTTATTTCCCTGTGTGTGTGTGTTAGGGCTGGGTGAAATGGCCTAAAAATCATACACTATATATACAAAAGTATGTGGACATCCCTTAAAATTAGTGGATTCTGCTATTTCAGCCACACCCATTGCTGACAGCACACAGCCATGCAATCTCCATAGACAAACACCGGCAGTAGAATGTCCTTACTGGAGAGCTCAGTGACTTTCAACGTGGCACCGTCATAGTAGCACGTAGCACATAGAAATTGTCTGTCCTCGGTTGCAACACTCACTACCGAGTTCCAAACTGCCTCTGGAAGCAACGTCAGCACAGTAACTATTCGCCGGGAGCTTCATAAAATGGGTTTCCATGGCCGAGCAGCCGCACACAAGCCTAAGATCACCATGCGCAATGCCAAGCGTCAGCTGGAGTGGTGTAAAGCTCGCCGCCATTGGACTCTGGAGCAGTGGAAACGCGTTCTCTGGAGTGATGAATCACGCTTCACCATCTGGCAGTCCGACGCACAAATCTGGGTTTGGCGGATACCAGGAGAACGGTACCTGCCCCAATGCATAGTGCCAACTGTGAAGTTTGGTGGAGGAGGAATAATGTCTGGGGCTGTTTTTCATGGTTCGGGCTAGGCCCCTTAGTTCCAGTGAAGGGAAATCTTAACGCTACCGCATACAATGACATTCTAGATAATTCTGTGCTTCCAACTTTGTGGCAACAGTTTGAGGAAGGCCCTTTCCTGTTTCAGCATGAGAATGCCCCTGTGCACAAAGTGAGGTCCATACAGAAATGGTTTGTCGAGATCGTGTGGAAGAACTTGACTGGCCTGCACAGAGCCTTGACCTCAACCCCATTCAAACACCGTTGGGAAGAATTGGAACGTCGACTGCGAGCCTAATCACCCAACATCAGTGCTCGACCGCACTAATGCTCTTGTGGCTGAATGGAAAGCAAGTCCCCGCAGTAATTTTCCAACATCTAGTGAAAAGCCTTCCCAGAAGAGTAGAGTGGATCGAGCGGGGCTTCTCCATCTGTCGGAGGCCTGCACCAGGCGCTTGGAGCAACGGGCTCAAGTTATCCTGCCTCTCGCCTGTCCATAAAGGATTCTCCGAATCCTGTGAATCATGGGATGGGCGGATTTCCTCGTCCTTCTCGCCAGCCGTGATTTTGGGCAGCTCCATGGTAAGAAATGTGACCGTTCCTGGTGCAAAAACAATGTCCTATCCCAGAGCTCGAGTAAATGACATTACTAAACTGCGCCCGAATGTAGTACGTCAAGACATGGAAATCGATTCTATCGTAGTCCATGTGGGTTTTAATGACATTATGAAGGGGACCTCTGAACAGTTAAAACTGGATTTTAAAGAGCTGATTGACTCTGTTAGACACTAACAAAAAACCCATCATACCTGGCCCTGTGCACTCTCTGAATCGTGGCATTGAACGCTTTAGCAGGATTCTTTCTCTTCACAACTGGCTACGTTATTATTGCAGCTCAATGGGTGTAACTTTTGTTGACAATTTCGATACTTTTTGGAAACAAAACACGTTTTATAAGGAGGATGGGATCCACCCAAATAATTTGGGTTCCTGGATCCTTTCACAGCATTATATGGCTGCGTTGAGACAATGACTTATCAATGACCCAAGCCCAGCTCAGCTAATCTCTACCATTGTGACGCAGAGTTGTCATAATGCTTCAGCAAATGTACATTACACCAGGGGTGTCGGTAGATACAATATAAGTAACATCATTTATGTCCCTCTAACTGCCCTGAATGCCTCTGCTGATCTTACAGCTATTGTATGCAGTAATCATATGCCTAGGAACCAGATTTATACTGTTAGCACTGAGCCGGTGTGCCCTAGGAGGAAGTCTACTGTGTGCATCTCACCCTGCACTAACATAAAGAACATGAGCACATTTACTGCTGCTAAGCTTCCCAGTAAAGCAATAAAAACAAGTAAGCATCCCAGTAGAAAAGTGCTCAAAATAGCACACTTTAACATATGTAGCTTAAGAAACAAGGTTCATGAAATCAATAATTTGCTAGTAACAGATGACATTCATATTCTGATCTCTGAAACTCACTTAGATAATACCTTTGATGATACAGTGGTAGCAATACAAGGTTATAACATTTACAGAAAATATCGAAATGCCAATGGTGGAGGTGTTGCTGTTTACATTCAGAACCACATTCATGTGAAGATTAGAGATGAACTAATGTTGAACCTGTAGCCATAGTACTTCAACAGTATTTATCTGCCTCACCTAAAGCCTATTCTGGTGGGAAGCTGCTATAGACCACCAAGTGCTAACAGTCAGTATCTGGATAATGTGTGAAATGCTTGATAATGTATGTGATATCAGTAGAGGTATACTTTCTGGGTGATTTTAAATATTGACTGGCTTTCATCACGCTGCCCACTCAAGAGAAAGCTTCAAACTGTAACCAGTGCCTGCAACCTGGTTCAGGTTATCAGTCAACCTACCAGGGTAGTTACAAACAGTACAGAAATGAAATCATCAACATGTATTCATCATATCTTTACTAATGCTGTAGAGATTTGTTTGAAAGCAGTATCCAAATCTATTAGATGTAGTGATCACAATATAGTAGCCATATCTAGGAAAACCAAAGTTCAAAGGCTGGGCCTAATATTGTGTGTAAGAGGTCATATAATACGTTTTGTAGTGATTCCTATGTTGTTGATGTAAAGAGTATATGTTGGTCCGTGGTGTGTAATGAGGAGCAAACAGACACTGCACTTGACACATTTATGAAATTGCTTATTCCAGTTACTAATAAACATGCACCCATTAAGAAAATGACTGTAAAACGGTTAAATCCCCATGGATTGATGAGGAATTGGAAAATTATATGGTTGAGAGGGATGAGTCTAAAGGAATGGCAAATAAGTCTGGCTGCGCAACTGATTGGCAAACGTATTGCAAATTGAGAAATCATGTGACTAAACTGAATAAAAAGAAGAAGAAACTTCACTATGAAACAAAGATAAATTACATAAAGAATGATAGTAAAAAGTGTATGCACTCACTAACTGTAAGTCGCTCTGGATAAGAGCGTCTGCTAAATGACTAAAATGTAAAAAGCTTTGGAGCACCTTAAATGAAACTTTGGGAGACAAAGGCAAACTCAGCTCCATCATTCATTGAATCAGATGGCTCATTCATCACAAAACCAACTGATATAGCCAACTACTTTAAAGATTTTTTTCATTGGTAAGATCAGCAAACTTAGGCATGACATGCCAGCAACAATTGCTGACACTACACATCCAAGTATATCTGACCAAATGATGAAAGCGTTGTAATTTTGAATTCCGTAAAGTGAGTGTGGAAGAGGTGAAAAAATTGTCTGTCAACAATGACAAGCCACGGTGTCTGACAACTTGGATGGAATACTTACTGAGGATAATAGTGGACGGTATTGCCACTCCTATTTGCCATATTTAAGCCTACTAGAATGTGTGTGCCCCCAGGCCTGGAGGGAAGCAAAAGTAATTCCGCTACCTAAGAATAGTAAAGCTCCCTTTACTGGCTCAAATAGCCGACCAATCAGCCTGTTACCAACCCTTAGTAAAATATTGGTGTTCTTCCAGATACAATGCTATTTTATAGTGAGCAAATTGACAAACTTTCAGCATGCTTATAGAGAAGGACATTCAACAAGCACAGCACTTACACAAATGACTGATGATTGGCTGAGAGAAATTGATGATAACAAGATTGTGGGGGCTGTTTTGTTAGACTTCAGTGCGGCTTTTGACATTATCGATCATAGTCTGCTGCTGGAAAAATTTGTGTTATGGTTTTACTCCCCCTGCTATATTGTGGATAAAGAGTTACCTGTCTAACAGAACACAGAGGGTGTTCTTTAATGGAAGCCTCTCCAACATAATTCAGGTAGAATCAGGAATTCACCAGGGCAGCTGTCTAGGCCTATTACTTTTTTCAATCTTTACTAATGACATGCCACGGCTTTGAGTAAAGCCAGTGTGTCTATGTATGTGGATGACTCAACACTATACATGTCAGCTACTACAGCGGCTGAAATGACTGCAACACTTAACAAAGAGTTGCAGTTAGTTTCAGAGTGGGTGGCAAGGAATAAGTTAGTCCTAAATATTTCTAAAGCATTGTATTTGGGACAAATCATTCACTAAACTAAATCTTGTAATAAATAATGTGGAAATTGAGCAAGTTGAGGAGACTAAACTGCTTGGAGTAACCCTGGATTGTAAACTGTCATGGTCAAAACATATTGATACAACAGTAGCTAAGATGGGGAGAAGTCTGTCCATAATAAAGTGCTGCTCTACCTTCTTAACAGCACTATCAACAAGGCAGGTCCTACAGGCCCTAGTTTTGTCGCACCTGCACTACTGTTCAGTCGTGTGGTCAGGTGCCACAAAAAAGGACTTATGAAAATTGCAATTGGCTCAAACAGGGCAGCACGGCTGGCCCTTGGATGTACACAGAGTGCTAATATTAATAATATGCATGTCAATCTCTCCTGGCTCAAAGTGGAGGAGAGATTGACTTCATCACTTGTTGTATTTATGAGAGGTATTGACATGTTGAATGCACCGAGCTGTCTGTCTTTAGCTACTGGCACACAGCTCGGACACCCATGCATACCCCACAATACATGTCACCAGAGGTCTCTTCAGAGTCCCCAAGTCCAGAACAGACTATGGGAGGCGCACAGTACTACATAGAGCCATGACTACATGGAACTCTATTCCACATCAAGTAACTGATGCAAGTAGTAAAATTAGATTTAAAAAACACCTTATGGAACAGCGGGGACTGTGAAGCAACACAAACACTGACACATGCATAGACACACACGATAACATACGCACTATACACACACGTACACAGGATTTTGTACTGTAGATATGTGGTAGTGATGGAGTAGGTATTATAATGTTTTTTAAATGGTATGAACTGCCTTAATTTTGCTGGACCCCAGGAAGCAGCTAATGGGGATCCATAATAAATACAAATACAAACTCCATATTAATGCCCATGATTTTGGAATGAGATGTTCAACGAGCAGATGTCCACATACTTTTGGTCATGTGGAGTACATTTCTCTCAGTTACTGGTGATCGCTATGGAAGTACCACCTGAAGCAGAAATACATAGGTTCCGTCCCAAATGGTAGTAGGTGCCAGGCGCACCGGTTTGAGTGTGTCAAGAACCGCAATTTTTTGACGCGCAACAGTTTCCCGTGTGTATCAAGAATGGTCCACCACCGAAAGAACATCCAGCCAACTTGACACAACTGTGGGCCAGCATCCTTGTGGAACGCTTTCGACACATTGTAGAGTCCATGCTCCGAGTGCAACTCAATATTAGGAAGGCGTTATGATTTTTGTGTAGTTTAGTGTAGTGGCTGTCAATCACATAGAACAATGCATGTCTGAACCATTGACATTTGCAGTACATTACACTACACATTTGCTAAAAAAATAATCTCTTATGGTAGTGCCACTGTGCCAGTACAGTAATTTAAGACTTGAACCAGTCTGATTGTGCTTGTCCACCCTAGCTCCAACGTCCAGCTGTTCTCTTGCTTTCCCTCTTCTCTCTCTGTTTTTTCCTTCCCTATTTTCTTTGCTAACTGACTGAAATGTAATGGAAGTGTTTAGGATGTGTGCATTGTCTTTATTAGGGATCCCCATTAGCACGTTTCTATGATCTGTGGTTAAAAAACGGTGATTTTCAAAACCTGCAATGATTTCTTAGCCCAAGGGAGGGTATTTCTGTTTTAACTTTTGATCTATACAGAACTTAAAGGTGCTGTTTTCAGATATGTTGACACTGGTATTGTGCTGGGGATGATGAAAGTGAGGTTGTAAAGTGGTGGAATTCAGCGAAGTTCCATGCAATATACAACTTGTGCCACGGATATTAACATATGCATTGATGCTGTCCTTGTGTCTTACAGGTGTGAAGGAGATATCTCTGTCTGAACTGGATCTGAGGGCCAAATGGGAGCAGTCTCTGGGGCCACAGTATGACGTTCTGGTGAGATTCTAACTGACAGCAGGATATGAACATATGGACAGAATACCTGCACACCATAGACAATCTCAGAGAAATCACTGTAGTCAATGACATGGTCAGTCATGTCAGTGAGTAGCAGTTTGATTTGATATCAAGCGTGGTTTGATAATCCCATAGAGAAGGAATTATATAATTAAGCAATAAGGCACGAGGGGGTGTGGTATATGGCTAAAATACCACGGCTAAGGGCTGTTCTTATGCAAGACGCAACGTGGAGGTGCCTGGATACAGCCCTTAGCCATGGTATATTGGCCATTTACCACAAACCCGAGGTGCCTTATTGCTATTATAAATTGGTTTCCAACGTAATTTGGTCCTCTGTAGCTCAGCTGGTAGAGCACGGCGCTTGTAACGCCAAGGTAGTGGGTTCGATCCCCGGGACCACCCATACACAAAAAAAATAAATGTATGCATGCATGACTGTAAGTCGCTTTGGATAAAAGCGTCTGCTAAATGGCATATTATTATTATTATTATTATTATTATAAAAATATTTGTTTTGTCATACGTGTGGTATACGGTCTGATATACCACGGCTGTCAGCCAATCAGCATTCAGGGCTCGAACCACCCTGTTTATGATGACAATTGTTTGTGTTTTTCCCTCCCAGGTGATTGAACTGGACCCTGTTATTGAAGATGATGCTGAACTACAGAAGTACTCCAAGGTGACAACAAGTTACCATCAAATATTGGAGCTTAATGCTTATGCCACACAGTTCCCTTTGACAAAAACTCCCCAGTTACCATAGGGATGATAAAGTATTATTTTCTATCCTAGCTGCTGCCCATCCACACCATGCGTCTGGGGGTGGATTTGGACTCATTTGACGGCCACCACTACATCTCCTCTGTGGCCCCAGAGGGCCCTGTGGCCAAACACGGCCTCCTGAGACCAGAGGACCAACTACTGGAGGTACTGCACACACCACACACACACCACCAACCACACAGCACCACACAACACCACCCACACACACACACAACACAAACCCACACCACACAACCAACACCAGCCCACTAACACAACCACTACACAACACCACACACACCACAGCACACCACACAACACACCACACACCACAATAACACAACAGCACACCACACAACACTCACACACAATTTCCACCCACCACCCACACAACACACACACACACAACACACACACAACAACCACACACCCCCACACACACACACACACACAGCCACACACACACACACACACACAACACACACACAACCCACACCACACAAAACACACGCACACACACACACACCACGCAACACACACACAACACACAGCGCACAACACACACACACACACACACACACAACACACACAAGCACACACACACACACAACACACACACACACACACAACACACACACACCACACACAACACACACACACAAAACACAAACAACAACACACACAATACACACACACAACACACACACACACACCACACAACCACAACATCCCACAAACCCACACAAACACACCAATCCACACACCCCCCACACCACAATACACACACACCACACAACACACACCAGACAATACACAGCGCACAACACACACACACCACACACACACACCACACCCACCGCACAACACACACAACATTTTCCTTGTCTAAATACATGCAAAGTAACCAAACAATGACATTTATAAATAGATGGGATGTAGCTTAATAGATGTCAGTAAATTATATAGAACCCATGATCTGCCAGTCATAATGCATTGTAAGATTATAAAAATATATATTATACAGTGAGGGAAAAAAGTATTTGATCCCCTGCTGATTTCGTACGTTTGCCCACTGACAAAGAAATGATCAGTCTATAATTTTAATGGTAGGTTTATTTGAACAGTGAGAGACAGAATAACAACAAAATAATCCAGAAAAACGCATGTCAATAATGTTATAAATTGATTTGCATTTTAATGAGGGAAATAAGTATTTGACCCCCTCTCAATCAGAAAGATTTCTGGCTCCCAGGTGTCTTTTATACAGGTAACGAGCTGAGATTAGGAGCACACTCTTAAAGGGAGTGCTCCTAATCTCAGTTTGTTACCTGTATAAAATACACTTGTCCACAGAAGCAATCAATCAATCAGATTCCAAACTCTCCACCATGGCCAAGACCAAAGAGCTCTCCAAGGATGTCAGGGACAAGATTGTAGACCTACACAAGGCTGGAATGGGCTACAAGACCATCGCCAAGCAGCTTGGTGAGAAGGTGACAACAGTTGGTGCGATTATTCGCAAATGGAAGAAACACAAAATAACTGTCAATCTCCCTCGGCCTGGGGCTCCATGTAAGGTCTCACCTCGTGGAGTTGCAATGGTCATAAGAACGGTAAGGAATCAGCCCAGAACTACACGGGAGGATCTTGTCAATGATCTTAAGGCAGCTGTGACCATAGTCACCAAGAAAACAATTGGTAACACACTACGCCATGAAGGACTGAAATCCTGCAGCGCCCGCAAGGTCCCCCTGCTCAAGAAAGCACATATACATGCCCGTCTGAAGTTTGCCAATGAACATCTGAATGATTCAGAGGAGAACTGGGTGAAAGTGTTGTGGTCAGATGAGACCAAAATGGAGCTCTTTGGCATCAACTCAACTCACCGTGTTTGGAAGAGGAGGAATGCTGCCTATGACCCCAAGAACACCATCCCCACCGTCAAACATGGAGGTGGAAACATTATACTTTGGGGGTGTTTTTCTGCTAAGGGGACAGGACAACTTCACCGCATCAAAGGGACGATGGACGGGGCCATGTACCGTCAAATCTTGGGTGAGAACCTCCTTCCCTCAGCCAGGGCATTGAAAATGGGTCGTGGATGGGTATTCCAGCATGACAATGACCCAAAACACACGGCCAAGGCAACAAAGGAGTGGCTCAAGAAGAAGCACATTAAGGTCCTGGAGTGGCCTAGCCAGTCTACAGACCTTAATCTCATAGAAAATCTGTGGAGGGAGCTGAAGGTTCGAGTTGCCAAACGTCAGCCTCGAAACCTTAATGACTTGGAGAAGATCTGCAAAGAGGAGTGGAACAAAATCCCTCCTGAGATGTGTGCAAACCTGGTGGCCAACTACAAGAAATGTCTGACCTCTGTGATTGCCAACAAGGGTTTTGCCACCAAGTACTAAGTCATGTTTTGCAGAGGGGTCAAATACTTATTTCCCTCATTAAAATGCAAATCAATTTATAACATTTTTGACATGCGTTTTTCTGGATTTTGTTGTTGTTATTCTGTCTCTCACTGTTCAAATAAACCTACCATTAAAATTATAGACTGATCATTTCTTTGTCAGTGGGCAAACGTACAAAATCAGCAGGGGATCAAATACATTTTTCCCTCACTGTACATGCAGGCTTTACCTGGTGTAACCTCAAAATGATGGTGGCACACATTTAATGTGTCATAACTTAACATCATTTCCTAGTATATTTTGTCCCCTATCACCTTGAGCCTGTCCCATGGCCTTGGTGGTCAGACGGTGGCCCTGCCTCTTGGCTCCAGTTCAGATGTGGCTGTGACTGTGGAGGGGGTTAGTTAGACCCATATCTAATGTACACTACAGGGGACCTCTGTGCTGTTGTATTTTCTGTTGTTCATTGGGCTTTTTCATTATAGGTGTGTGTGTGTGTGTGTGTTTATGTGAGTGTGTGGTTGGGAGTTTGTGTGTGTGTGCGTACATACTCTTGTGAAGAGGGGTTAGCTGGCTAACCGAGCCCATCTGTACGGCAGATCCCTGCTTCCTCTGTGCCACCCCCCTGCTCACCCCTATCCCTCTTCCTGCCCCCTCCCCTCCCTGGCACGGCTTGGTGCAGCTTCACCACTGTGCCCTCAGCCTGTTGCTGTTGGCAGACTTGGCATAAGCAACCACCATGGTACTGTGGCACAGGACGGGAATACCCTGTGAGAGGAGAGGAGGGGAGAGGAGGAGAGGAGAGAAGTGGGAAGAGAAGACGGGTGGGGAGAGAGGGGAGGGGAGGCTAGTTTTTAGAGCTCCAAATGTATCGCTACATTCAGGTTTTAAATGCCAAAGGTATAGCTAAATTAATGTCAGGCTTCGACACAATCCCAACCCTCCATACTAGTACATCTTGATCCACACCTACATTTTTCCGAGCTGCAACGTGAACTTAATGCAGTGTCCCGGTAAGATGGGAGGCCTCTAAACCTTAGTAGGGGGGGCCAGGTCTCCCCCACATCTCTGGGCAGATGGCACATAGCATAGCCGGGCTCTACAGACGCACCAGCACAGCCCGCTCCATTAAACAGCAATCAAGAGGCCCAGCGGCTCCCTGAGTCCCCTCACTGAGAATAGGGCTATCCCAATGGGTTGGCCCCTCTGATCTCACACACACACACACCCTCCTCATCTGGGCTACTATATCTCTTTTGGTTCACTTCATTAACATAGAGATAATCTTTGTTGGGAATTGTTGAAGTCACAAATTGACTCCATTAGCTTCTGATGTCTTACACTATATGACCAAAAGTATGTGGACACCTGCTCGTCCAACATCTCATTCTAAAATCATGGGCGTTAATATGGAGTTGATCCCCCTTTTGCTGCTATAACAGCCTCCACTCTTCTGGGAAGGATTTCCACTAGATGTTGGAACATTGCTGCGGGGACTTGCTTCCTTTCAGCCACGAGCATTAGTGAGGTCGGGCACTGATGTTGGGCGATTAGGCCTGGCTCGCAGTCGGTGTCCCAAAGGTGTTCGATGGGTTTGAGGTCAGGGCTCTGTGCTTGCCAGTCAAGTTCTTCCACTCCGATCTCGACAAACCATTTCTGTATGGACCTCGTTTTGTGCACGGGGGCATTGTCATGCTGAAACAGGAAAGGGCCTTCCCCAAACTGTTGCCACAAAGTTGAAAGTACAGAATTGTCCAGAATGTCATTACTGTATGCTCTTGCATTAAGATTTCCCTTCACTGGAACTAAGGGGCCTAGCCCGAACCATGAAAAACAGCCCCAGACCATTATTCCTCCTCCACCAAACTTTACAGTTGGCACTATGCATTGGGGCAGGTAGCATTCTCTTGGCATCCGCCAAACCCAGATTTGTCCATCGGACTGCCAGATGGCTCCAGAGAACGTGTTTCCACTGCTCCAGAGTCCAATGGCGGCGAGCTTTACACCACTCCAGCCAACGCTTGGCATTGCGCATGGTGATCCTAGGCTTGTGTGCGGCTGCTCGGCCATGGAAACCCATTTTATGAAGCTCCCAACAAACAGTTATTGTGCTGACGTTGCTTCCAAAACTCGGTAGTGAGTGTTGCAACCAAGGACAGACAGTGTTATGGAGATTGCATGGCTGTGTGCTCGGTTTTATGCACCTGTCAGCAATGGGTGTGGCTGAAATAGCCGAATCCACTAATTTGAAGGGGTGTCCACATACTTTTGTATATGTAGTTTATCTTCCCTTTGAAACTGTTGCACCAGCCAGCAGTTGGCTGTGTATTTACTCTAAATGAATGGTGTGTGTGTGCACACTGCAGGTGAGTGTTTTTCTGTCTGCCTGTCTTAAGGGAATTTCCTGTACATGTGTATGTAGTGACATTGTGTGTTTGTGTCGCTGTACGTGCTACGTGTGTCTCTGTCTACAGGTAAACGGGGTGCAGCTGTATGGCAAGTCGAGGCGCGAGGCAGTGGCATTCCTTCGTGAGGTTCCCCCTCCCTTCACCCTCGTGTGCTGCAGACACCTGACAGAGGAGAACTCAGACAACCAGCCTGACCGGGACGATGAGTGGTGCTCGCCCAGCCCCGCCGCTAGCCTCTCTGAGGTCAGGACACACACATTCAGACAGGCACACACGTGCACATACACACACATATGTAAGCACGCACACGCATTTACACACACACACACATACATATGATAGCCTACTGCATATCCTCCTTCTAGATTGAAGCCAAACTGTCCTCTTTAGTGACTAGTCAGGCCTACTGCCGAGACCCTACAGGTGACCAGCCTCAGGTATGCTACTCTATCATTTCTCTGCAAAGTGCTGACACTTACTGGACAGCTAACTGTGTGTAAAGTAGCCGATGACAGTGGCCAGGTGACAGTCAGTGTTGTTGATTACTGCAGTACAACACATATCCGATTTTATCTGGTAAAGATGTTCCGGAAGCTAAAATAATGGTGTCCTGTCTCCTTATCACAACCGTGTGCCTCTTTCACCCACCAGGACCAAACCACCCTAAAGGAGGTGTCGGAGGAGGAGCAAGCGCCCACATACCCCAGCCACCAGGAGGAGAAAGTGCATGAGGAAAGAGAGGAGGAGGAGGAGGAGGATGAAAAGGGAGAGATGGCTCTGTGGTCCCCAGACATCCAGTTGTTGGAGCTGGAGAAGGGAGAGCGAGGCCTTGGCTTCAGCATCCTAGACTACCAGGTAGGGAGAGGGAGAGAGGCCTGGGCTTCTGCATCCTAGACTACCAGGTAGAGAGAGAGAGAGAGAGAGAGAGCGACCTGTGCTTCAGCATCCTAGACTACCAGAGAGAGAGACCTGGGCTTCAGCATCCTAGACTACCAGGTAGAGAGAGAGAGACCTGGGCTTCAGCATCCTAGACTACCAGGTAGAGAGAGAGAGACCTGTGCTTCAGCATCCTAGACTACCAGGTAGAGAGAGAGGCTCCACCCCTCACTCACCTGTCTTGTCTACTCTTTCTGCCTCTTCTTCTCCTTCTCATCCCCTTCGCTCTCTTTCATTCCTGTTAGGGTTGGCGTTATCCACATTTTCATATCGTCATACCGTCCTTCTCTCATACCGGGATTTACGGTATTACTGGCTTAGTACACAAGGGGGCGCCCAAAAATGCCCAAAGCCCATCGGGCGTCTATTACCAAGAATGCTAACAAAATTAGCACAGGTAATTGCGAATTTCCATTGAGGTTGCTAGCTAAATATGCTAACAAGCTCAAACAAATATTTTTTTTTTTTTTTTGCAAAGACAGGCAGTCCAGCTCATGAAGTTATACTTATATAGGTAGGAGCTACCGAATGTCATTTTTGGTGAGTTTGGATATTTACAAGCGAATGTGAACGAGAGACATTGTGCAAATCAACAGTAGTGGCTCTGGAGCAGCATGTGGTCACGCTGTGTCTGTGTGGAGTCTGGAGTCGCTAGGGCAACAGGCCTGCCTGCTCTGCTCGAAGAGGATGGGGGAGGAGCAGACGGCCGAGAACGGAGAGGAGAAAAAATGCAAGGAAGTCTAAAGATAAGTGGCAGCTGTACAGAATACTCATCCAAAGGGCTTTGACTTCTCAAACACGGCAGAAAGCCAACCCAATATGATACCCCATCACCTTATTAATTCAGCCACTTACTTAGATAACTAGCAAGTTAAACTTAGGGGTCGCGTTAACGCAGAATTCTTTGGGGTTTTTTAACACAGGAAAAAAAGATCAAACTCATAAGAAATATCGTTTTGTAAATGCCGATCTAAAATGCTTCTTATTGTAATTTCAGCTCGGCATCAGACTAATTTTGTGCTTCAGTTGCACTTCTCCACTCGGATGAGAATTCACGAACGGGGCAGTCAGTGCTCTGACTGATGTGGAGCTACTTTTCTCCAGTACTTCACTCAGTGTAGCCAGCCTAGTCTTCTCCGGTAACATGCAAGACTAACTTTAAGAAAAACATTAGGAAATGTAGCTGCCTACATTCTTTCTATGCAAAGAAGACCTTGCTTTTTCATTGGAAGCTCATTTAGCTTTCTTCTGTGGCTGCCAGCCAAATAGTGTTGCACTTCTGTTGTCATCTGATGAAAATGAAGCCATTTTCTGCTGAATGTGTTGCAGTAATGTATTTTTTTGTGAAGGAAAACTATAGTTGCATGTCCTGATCACACTATTGAAGCAGAACAACACTGTTAACTTTCAGTATAAAACGCGACCCCTGTCAATACACAGCTGGACTCCCCTGCTCCCACTTGCTATTTACAAACAAACGTGACGGGCTCAACTGTTCTAGGGAACTACGGTAAGCTTCATAATGTAAAATAATGTGACGGGTGAAATGAAGAACACAATCTGCTTTACCTTCTAACATATTGCTCAAGTTGACTGCAGGTATTTACTTAACAAGTAGCTACAAATATTAAAATGTATAGAAAAACGTAAAAGAAGTAGTTTCAACTGTATTGACGGTATTGAAAAATCATCCCGTGGGTATTTCCAAATACCCCGGTATGCGGTATATACGGTATACCGCCCAAGCCTACTTCCTGTTTCTGCACTCTCTCTCTCTCTCTCTCTCTCTCCCCCCCCCCCCTCGCTTCCTCTTCCTCACCCCTTTCCTCCTCTAATTCGGGGAGGAATATTAACTGGAGGAGGGAGAACGTGTGAGCTTGATCCCCATACCAACAGCAGTGACCCTTGCAAAGGGCCAGGCGGTTTTACCAGGAAATTCTGGGAAAATAAACAAAGAAATTGATAAATGATGGAGCTTAGGGTGAGGAGGGGTAGAAGGGTGGGGTAGAAGGCGGAGGGGGGAGAGTTCTCAAGGGGACTGTTTGAGTTCTATATGTGGCCAAAGTGGGCTGTCGAGGGAGTGGGCTAAAGCAGACTAAAGCCTGGTTCATGTTCATAACAGCAAAAGGTGAAACGGAAAAGGAATGTGTTTTATTGTCGTCCCTCCCTATATTAGTCTATTTTCTTTCTCATTTTGGTGCCTATTGAACACGACCCCGACCAAAGCCTTCCATCTCGGCTGGTTCTCTTCAGGGATGGGGGGATGCAAAAGGAGGAGAGAAAAATAAGCTGATGAAATCTTGCTTGTCTTTTCTCCTGTAGTCTGATCGGAAAAGTAAACGTGCACGGCTGTGTCACAAGTCATCGGGTAAGGGACAACAAAAGGAATCAGTCTGTATTTGGGCTTGGCAAGGGGCCGCAGTGTTACCTGGAGCTGGGCCAAACCTCAAACATCACACACGTCAGACACAGGCACCCAGCTCCATATCGGTTCTCTGTGACTGGAAAACACAAGAACGACAGTGCCGTGAAAAAGTATTTGCCCCCTTTTTGATTTTCTCTATTTTTGTAAATTTTTTATACTGAATGTTATCAGATCTTCAACGAAAACCTAATATTAGATAAAGGTAACCTGAGTTTACAAAAAACAAAAAAACATATACTTATTTTATTTATTTAATTAACAAAGTTTGCAACACCCAATTCCCCTTTGTGGAAAAAGTAATTGCCCCCTTACACTTATTGACTGGTTGTGCCACGTTTAGCTGCAATGACTGCAACCAAATGCTTCCTGTAGTTGTTGATCAGTCTCTCACATGGCTGTGGAAGAATTTTGGCCCACTCTTGCATGCAGAACTGCTGTTCATGCATGAGCTGCTCGTTTCAAGTGCTGCCACATCTCAATTGGGATTAGGTCTGGACTTCACATTTGTTGCTTTTTAACCATTTTCCTGTAGACTTGATTGTATGTTTTGGATCATTGTCTTGCTGCATGACCCAGCTGCGCTTCAGATTCAGATCACAGACTGATGGCCTGACATTCTCCTGTAGAATTCTCTGATACAGAGAAGAATTCATGGTTTCTTCTATTAAGGCAAGTCTTCCAGGTCCTGAGGCAGCAAAGCATCTCCAAACCATCACACTCCCACCACCATGCTTGTATGGACAGATGAGTCAAAAGTATAACTTTTTGGATGACATGGGTCCCATTATGCCTGGCAAAAACAAAACACTGTATTCCACAGTAAGAACCTTATACCACCGGTCAAGCATGGTGGTGGTGGTAGTGTGATGGTTTGGGGATGCTTTGCTGCCTCAGGACCTGGATGACTTGCCTTAATAGAAGGAAACATGAATTCTGCTCTATATCAGAGAATTCTACATATACAGTGGGGGAAAAAAGTATTTAGTCAGCCACCAATTGTGCAAGTTCTCCCACTTAAAAAGATGAGAGAGGCCTGTAATTTTCATCATAGGTACACGTCAACTATGACAGACAAATTGAGATTTTTTTTCTCCAGAAAATCACATTGTAGGATTTTTAATGAATTTATTTGCAAATTATGGTGGAAAATAAGTATTTGGTCACCTACAAACAAGCAAGATTTCTGGCTCTCACAGACCTGTAACTTCTTCTTTAAGAGGCTCCTCTGTCCTCCACTCGTTACATGTATTAATGGCACCTGTTTGAACTTGTTATCATTATAAAAGACACTTGTCCACAACCTCAAACAGTCACACTCCAAACTCCACTATGGCCAAGACCAAAGAGCTGTCAAAGGACACCAGAAACAAAATTGTAGACCTGCACCAGGCTGGGAAGACTGAATCTGCAATAGGTAAGCAGCTTGGTTTGAAGAAATCAACTGTGGGAGCAATTTATTAGGAAATGGAAGACATACAAGACCACTGATAATCTCCCTCGATCTGGGGCTCCACGCAAGATCTCACCCCGTGGGGTCAAAATGATCACAAGAACGGTGAGCAAAAATCCCAGAACCACACGGGGGGACCTAGTGAATGACCTGCAGAGAGCTGGGACCAAAGTAACAAAGCCTACCATCAGTAACACACTACGCCGCCAGGAACTCAAATCCTGCAGTGCCAGACGTGTCCCCCTGCTTAAGCCAATGTCCAGGCCCGTCTGAAGTTTGCTAGAGTGCATTTGGATGATCCAGAAGAGGATTGGGAGAATGTCATATGGTCAGATGAAACCAAAATAGAACTTTTTGGTAAAAACTCAACTCGTCGTGTTTGGAGGACAAAGAATGCTGAGTTGCATCCAAAGAACACCATACCTACTGTGAAGCATGGGGGTGGAAACATCATGCTTTGGGGCTGTTTTTCTGCAAAGGGACCAGGACGACTGATCCGTGTAAAGGAAAGAATGAATGGGGCCATGTATCGTGAGATTTTGAGTGAAAACCTCCTTCCATCAGCAAGGCCATTGAAGATGAAACGTGGCTGGGTCTTTCAGCATGACAATGATCCCAAACACACCACCCGGGCAACGAAGGAGTGGCTTCGTAAGAATCATTTCAAGGTCCTGGAGTGGCCTAGCCAGTCTCCAGATCTCAACCCCATAGAAAATCTTTGGAGGGAGTTGAAAGTCCGTGTTGCCCAGCGACAGCCCCAAAACATCACTGCTCTAGAGGAGATCTGCATGGAGGAATGGGCCAAAATACCAGCAACAGTGTGTGAAAGCCTTGTGAAGACTTACAGAAAACGTTTGACCTGTGTCATTGCCAACAAAGGGTATATAACAAAGTATTGAGAAACTTTTGTTATTGACCAAATACTTATTTTCCACCATAATTTGCAAATAAATTCATAAAAAATCCTACAATGTGATTTTCTGGATTTTTTTCCTCATTTTGTCTGTCATAGTTGACGTGTACCTATGATGAAAATTACAGGCCTCTCTCATCTTTTTAAGTGGGAGAACTTGCACAATTGGTGGCTGACTAAATACTTTTTTTCCCCACTGTAATGTATATGTATAATGAGGCCCTAATCACATTCAATATGAACTCCACAGCATAAATCACTGGTGAGCAGCTTTTTAAATGATCGATAGGGTAGACCTAGGGCACTGTTCAATCAAAATCTGATAACCAGGTGTCCTGGATAACTAAAAGCGTTTCAATATAATGTTATAATAAAATTCACCTGCTAACAATCCAAACGGAGACTTCATGTTGGACGCCATTGGCAGCAGAAAGGATGCATCTGTAACCCTTATTTCTTAGTGTTAAAATAAAAGTCAGAACGAAAGTAAGGCTACACATCACCCCTTCATAACTTTTTCCAAGGGTCCAGTAAATGACTGAAATGTAACAACGCTGCTCCAAGTCTGAAACGGGCCAAATCGAACACAAAGATCCCATTTTAATGACACCACAAACTGTACGTCTTCTTCGTCTGGGGAGCTAGCTAGTATGCTTTATAGCAGTAACGGGAGCAGCAAACCCTTCTATACTGTCTGTCCGTTCACATCAGGAAGGAGTGAAGTCAGAAAGAACGGAGTCGAACGGAGTCAAACGGAGTCACTCACAAATGAACTGAAGGAAGAATCCATAGGACTACAGTGCCTACAGAAAGTAGTCATGCATCTTTACTTATTTCACATTTTGTTGTTACAACCTGAATTCAAAATGGATTAACATTTTTCTCAACCATCTACAATACCTCATAATGACATTGAAAACATGTTTTTAGAAATATCTGATTTACATAAGCATTCACACCCCTGAGTCAATACATGTTAGAATCACCTTTGGCAGTGATTACAGCTGTTAGTTTTTCTGGGTTAGTCTCTAAGAGCTTTGCACACCTGGATTGTACAATATTTGCACTTTTTTTTTTTTTTAAGATTAAAAAAAAAAAAGCTCTGTCAAGTTGGTTGTTGATCATTCCTAGACAGCCATTTTCAAGTCTTGCCATAGATTTTCAAGCCGATATAAGTCAAAACTGTAACTAGGCTCTCAGGAACATTCGATGTCATCTTGGTAAGCAATTTATTTTTACCCATCTACCAATAGGTACTCTTTGCGAGGCAATGGAAAACCTCCCTGGTCTTTGTGGTTGAATCTGTGTTTTGAAATTCATTGCTCGACTGAGGGACCTTACAGACAATTGTATGTGTGGGGTACAGAGATGATGTAGTCATATTAAAATAATATTAAACACTATTATTGCACACAGAGTGAGTCCATGTGAGTTGTTATGCACATTTTTACTCCTGAACTTATTTAGGCTTGCAATAACAAAGGGATTGAATACTTATTGACTCAAGACAATTTTGATTTTGTGTTAATAATATATATTTGTAATCAATTTTGACATTCTGGGGTATTGTGTGTAGGCCAGTGACAAAAAAACCCTCAATTTAATCAATTTTAAATTCAGGCTGTAAAACAAAATGTGGAAAAAGTCAACTGGTGTGAATCCTTTCTGAAGGCACTGTATATAGTATATGACCTGAGGACGTGACCCAGTCTCGTAGTGTGAGTGAAGTCATAAAGAACAGAGTCGCAGCTCAGAAATGGTCCGCAGCTCAGAAGTGGTCCTCTGTAGCTCAGCTGGTTGAGCACGGCGCTTGTAACGCCAAGGTAGTGGGTTCGATCCCCGGGACCACCCATACACAAAAAAAATGTATGCACGCATGACTGTAAGTCGCTTTGGATAAAAGCGTCTGCTAAATGGCATATTATTATTATTATAAATGAACTGAAGGAAGAATCTATATGACTATTTATGATTATACAGTATAACCCAGTATTTATGAGTAGATAAGTATGTGACATGTATGTGAGCATATGGCCTAGTCTTTGGCATCGCTATGTGCCTCATCGTTGTGGTTGTGATTGTCTAGTTCTTTTTCCCTGTAAACACAAAACAACTGAAATACACAGCATTGAAGAAATAGGACATTCAAATTATTATTCATATTGTCCAATTCCTTTCATTTGTAGAGAGCTTTGAACAGATAAGACAAGACATACAAAATTAGATGAGATGGATTCAAGGAAGATGGGAAAGACTGTTGTGAACAAGTCAGGGAAATGCAGAGCCTTTATATGAAGGGTTTAATGGATTGTTTGTGAATGTGTTATAGGGCCCCTTGTGTTTCAGAGTAACTGTATCCTAGGGCCTTGAATCGTTAAATATAGGCATAGCTTCACCTCTAAGACCTCTATTTCTACTCTCCTCCCTCAAGTGTACAAAAAGATTTTAACCTACTAGAGAAAACAAACAATCTTATGTATAAATCATATATTCCTGTCCTCCCCCTATCCTCCTCTGTCCTCTATCCCATAGTCCCCTTCCTCTACCTCCTATGTCTCTCCTCCTCTCCGTAATCTCTCTCTCCTCCTATCCCCGTCCCTCTCACCTCTCCTCCTCCGACACCTCTCTCCCTATCCTCGTACCCTCTCACGCTCTCTTCCACGTCCCCCTCCCTCCTCTCCTCCTCCACCCCTTCCTCCTCTGTCTCTCTCGCCCTACTCTCTCTCTTGTCCCCCTCTTTCCTCTCCTCTCACCCCCTCTCCCTCCTCTCCTCCTCCGTCCCTCTCTCCTCTCCTCCATTCCTCTCTCCCTCGTAATGGAAGTTACCCATCACTGCATATTAATATAAAGAATGAGGTGTTTAGTTTACACAATAATTCATATAAATGAGATGGAGGTGATGACAACATTAACATAAGTTATACCATAGCAGCACTACATAGTTGAAGTGTCTGTCTTGCCTTATCAATCTCTCTCTCTCTCTCTCTCTCTCTCTCTCTCTCTCTCTCTCTCTCTTCTAATCCGTCTCTCACTGCAAGCCGAGGCAGGCTGCCCTGGGCGAGAGGGTGAATTGATTTTTCAGGTCCGTACGCGTCTCCGTTAGAGGCTTTAGGCTGATGAGACTGAATGGGATCCACTGTGCAGTCTGCAGCACTGCTGCCTGTAGACGCACTCTGGGCTGTAGTCTGCAGTACAGGAGGCTCTATCTGTTTGTCTGTCTGCTGAACAAATGCTGGGGTCAGCAGCAACACACACACACACACACACACACACACACACACACACAATAACACACACTATCCCCCCACACTTCAATATACAGCACAATACATTCAATACACCATTTATGCCCATAGGACTATCAAACTGAATGTACCCTGGCAGTTTGTTAAATGTTTAATTAGAGCACACTGTTGTAAAATGTTTTGTAACGGCATACGAAAATACGGGTGTCTTATTGGACAAGTTCCCGTTTCCCAAGACAGTACAACGTCATTCTTTACATTTATGAAACGGACTACATCGTAGTCAGACGTCATTTCATATGGCATTACACTGCGACCAGCGACTGCAGCCCGAACACTCCCGAGGTCATTAACTAGAAACATGACTCCTGGAGAGGCAGAAAGGCCCAAATCAGAGTGTCTAGTATTAGCTTAGCTGCGACAGCAAGTGTGTTTTAAACGGGTGACGGGTATCATTATGAGCGATGGACAATTGTGGGGTGTAGGGTCCCCCTCACTGGCACCTCTTAATGGAGATAAATGGCGGCGGGTGAGGTTTTCAAACGGCCATTCGACAGGGTGGGCCCAGGCTTAGTTTTACCTCAGTGGTATCAGGTTTGGCCCAGCTCTTCTTACGGCCCAGCCATTTAAAAGTCATTTCTCTTATTCTCCCCATTTATTTTAGTCAGTGGCGTAATCCGTGAAGTCATAGGATTTCTTTCTCTGTAAAGGATCTTGATTGAGGACCCTGCATGTGTGTGTGTGTGGGGTGGGGTGGGGTGGGGGCTGAAAGTGTGTTTTGCATGTGTTTGTTCAGTATCACTTGTTCCATTAGGGATCAAAGCTCAACCTATTGTTTTGATATCCTTTTACACACACTACTGTGTTTGACCTGATTTAAACTGGTATGTTGTTGGCATTGACCTGTTCATTTCTATATGCTGGAGACATCGCAAAAGTGCACTTTGTAAATAATTTCATAGAACCAAATAGTTGGTACAGAAAAGGGAAGCTTACGCCCCTTGTAGTCTGTGACCACAGCCAAATGTTGTGTCTCAAATGGCACAATCTTCCCTATATAGTGCACTACTTTTGACCAGTCCTATGGCCCCTTGTCAAAAGTAGTGCACTACATAGGGAATAGGGTGCCATTTGGGACACAGTCAAAAATAATTGTACCTCCGACCTCCTCATAAACCAATGCTATGTTTAGTTTACTTCTCCCTATATAAAATCAGTGTGTGAGGCTACGTTCCCTATATGGGGACAAATATACATTACCTACATGCCGAAATAAATCACTGTGAGAAATAAGAAACCGAGAATTCCGTCTGAAATGGAATCCATTTTGAATTTTCGACTGGCAGTGAAATAATACCCTCACCTGCACATCAATACAGCATTTAGTTAGTTTCCCCCGGCAATGTTTTAGCGGACAAACATAAATCATCCTCTGTATTTGTTATTACTTAATTATACAGTTGTTACCGTAGCTACGGTAGAATCCGATCAAATAAATGTTATTTAAGTGAGTGGCCGACTGGTAAATCGATGAGTAAGCTGGATTGAATTGGATGAAGATGGACATTAAAACGCATTGCTGAGCGGAGAGCTACGTCACACACTGCAATGATAAACAGTAGTTTGCATGGTGTTAGTCATGCTCAAGGTCCTAAGCACAGATCTAGGATCAGATAACCTAGCCTTAACCGTTAGGTAGGAGGATTAGATCTGAAACTCGGTCAGTCGTTATGGGCAACTGCTATGTTATTTAGTGTGGCTGTCTGCGGCTGTTATGAAACAGGTTCCCAGCATACACACATCAGGGTTGTTGGAGGAGGAAGGTGTGTGTGTGTGTGTGTGTGTGTGTGTTTCTCTCCCTCTGTTTGTGTATGCCGTTCAAGCGTCTGTTCAAAAACTTTTGACCGGTAGTGTACAGTTGAAGTCGGAAGTTTACATACACCTTAGCCAAATACATTTAAACTCAGTTTTTCACAATTCCTGACATTTAATCCTAGTAAAAATTCCCTGTCTTAGGTCAGTTAGGATCACCACTTTATTTTAAGAATGTGAAATGTCAGAATAATAGTAGAGAGAATGATTTATTTCAGCTTTTATTTATTTCATCACATTCCCAGTGGGTCAGAAGTTTACATACACTCAATTAGTATTTGGTAGCATTGCCTTTAAATTGTTTAACTTGGGTGAAACGTTTTGGGTAGCCTTCCACAAACTTCCCACAATAAGTTGGGTGAATTTTGGCCCATTCCTCCTGACAGAGCTGGTGTAACTGAGTCATGTTTGTAGGCCTCCTTGCTCGCACACACTTTTTCAGTTCTGCCCAAAAATCTTCTATAGGATTGAGGTCAGGGCTTTGTGATGGCCACTCCAATACCTTGACTTTGTTGTCCTTAAGCCATTTTGCCACAACTTTGGAAGTATGCTTGGGGTCATTGTCCATTTGGAAGACCCATTTGTGACCAAGCTTTAACTTCCTGACTGATGTCTTGAGATGTTGCTTCAATATATCCACATAATTTTCCTTCCTTATGATGCCATCTATTTTGTGAAGTGCACCAGTCCCTCCTGCAGCAAAGCACCCCCACAGCATGATGCTGCCACCCCCGTGCTTCACGGTTGGGATGGTGTTCTTCAGCTTGCAAGCATCCACCTTTTTCCTCCAAACTTAACCCTTGTGCTTTGCTGGAAAAAAATGACATCCATTATGTTACGGGTCAAATTGACCCGCACAGTTTAAACACACTCAAGACAGTCAAAGAATTAAGTAAAAACAGAAACAACTTTATTTTGTCTTATCAGACATTTCAGAAAGAAGAAATACAATACTTTTTATTTTTTTAAAACAATATTTAAGAACTATTTGTTAAACATATTTCCTTTCTCACAAACAAGATTTTTCAGTTTCCCCAAGTAGGTTTTTTCCCCCCCTATTGGTCCATATTATCCCTTCAGTCTTTCTCTCTACATGTTGAACACAATGTGTGTGTGTGCTTTCTGCAGATGTATTTATTGCATTCTACACAAGTGGTGCTTGTTTTACTGTCTTGTCGAGGGGGGCAGAGCTGGCATCTTTTCCGTTTCTTGCCACTGCCTGTATCCACTGGATCCATTTCTGGTTGATTGGAGGCATGTGTTGATGGTCCAGCTTGAATTTTCTGGACGGCAGATGCAGCTGCTGTCGACCGAGGAGGCCGGACTCTCCTCTGGATCTTGGGAGTGATGAGAGCTTTGCCGAGCTCCTCTAGGAAAAGCCGGCGTCGGTACAATTTGCCACCATTCCATTGCTGGTTGATTTCAGTCCACAGGACATAGGCATTGTAAGCAGACACATCCACAATGTTGTAGAAAATCACCAAAGGCCAGCGGGCAGTCATGCGCTGACAACTATATGTTGCTGTGACTTTATCCAAATTGTCAACTCCTCCTTTGGTGGAATTGTAGTCCAGTATTATTTGTGGCTTGATGTCCTCTCTTGCACTCAGCGATGCATCTTTGTGCATTGTGCTCATTACAAGAACATTCTTGTTCTTCTTTGGGCAGTATGAAACAACAGTTGCATTTTCAGAGAAAGCAAATTTAGAGGAATGCACAGTTCTGCCCTGCATTTTCAGAAGCTCACTGGGAAGTTCAGGTTTGTTTTTTCTGATTGTTCCAACCATGGTCAGCTTTCTCTTCTGTAGTTCAACACCAAGGCGGTAGGATGTGAAGAAGTTGTCACACGTGATGTTATGACCTTGCAGCCCTTCACTCATGTCCAGCACCACCCGCATCCCCTGGTTTTTCTCAGGCACTCCGCCGGGTGGCTTCCCAGTGTAAACTTGCATATTCCATGCATAGCTTGATGTGGCATCACATGCTGCCCATATTTTGATGCCATATTTTGCAGGCTTGTTTGGCATATACTGTCTGAAGGGACAACGTCCTCTGAATGGAACAAGGCGTTCATCAACTGTAACATGAGGACTGGGATTGTACAGTAACGGTAGAATTTCCACCCATTTATCCCATACATCTCTGATTGCAGCTAGTTTGTCTCTTTCACGTCGACCCGGTCTGGTATCACGGTTATCAAAGCGAATCACCCGAGAAATTATGTGGAATTCTTGTAGAGACATTGTTGCCCGAAATATTGGCCTTCCATTCTCTTCATTCCACAGGCTGGCCGTTGCTTCTCCGTTTGACCGGTAGACTCCAGCTAATATGAGCAATCCAATGTATGCATGCAAGTCAATCCGATCCAGTGGCTTCCAGTTCTCTTGAAACACACGGCTCCCCTCCAAGTTGGTCATGTCCAGAACAATCTTCTCTATTGCTTGGGGTAAAAAGAGCTCAAAAGCTGATTGTATGTCATGGACTCGAGTGACAGCAAATCGTGTAGGTCCTGGAACCATTTTTATTACATTGGAAGCTGAGAGTCTACCTTGACCTCGTTGTGGTGATGGTGACCATTCAATATGACCATCTTTAGACTTCCATGTCTTCTCTTCTCTTGATGATGCTTGTTGCATGCTCTGTCTCTCATCTGATGTAGGGGATGGTACGGCAGACTCCTCCTCTGAATCCTCTTCAATGAAGACAAAATCTGGATCATCAACAGCATTGTCCTCTATCTCTGAAATATCCTCTGTCTCTGAAACCTCTTCTTCTTTTTCACTGTCACAGTCCAGAATTTGTGATAAGTCTTCATTGATTGAAAATCTTTTGGAGCTCATTTTTGAGTGTCTGTGTCAGGGACCTGCTGCTCTCACACTGAGGAGAAGCTTGGGAAAGCCCTTTTTAACCCAAACACAATTCTAAAAGTGCAACCAGGACCAGTCAAAACAAAATAC